AGGGTTTTTTTTTTTTTTTTTGGTGATTTTGTGAATTTCAGTTCTTTGAATATGTATGTGTATACACACACATGTATATGTGTGTTCTTTACAGCTGCTCGTCTACTGTAGGGAGAGCTGGAGGTAAACAGCAGTTGTCTCTGTCTGTGGGCGGCTGTGTTTTTCACGGGATCATTGAGCATGAGCTCCTCCATTCTCTGGGGTTCCACCACGAACACACCAGGAGCGACAGAGACCAGTACATCTGGATCAACTGGCAGAATATTCCACAAGGTGTGTGTGTGTGAGAGAGAATGTGGACCAATCTCAAATTCTAGAGGTGATTTTAAAAAATCGTTTTATTTTATCTTAATGAAAAACCTCCGTACCAATGAACACTTGTTTGCCCTTGCACAGCATCTGCACACAACTTTCAAATAAAGGACACAAATAATCTCAATACCCCTTATGACTACAACTCCATCATGCATTATGGAAGGTAAAACTTCACCCATATTACTTTTGAATTCATGCTTCAGTACGGATATATAAAGTACATCCTCAAGGGAATTCACTCTCACCCTTCATCTGCAGGACAGCCTTCACCATTACATATGGCATGGAAACCATCGTTCCAATTCCTAACCCTTTAGTACAGATTGGACAGAGGCAGGAATTGTCTGACATTGACATTCAGAGAATCAACAAGCTCTATGAATGTGGTGAGCACATTACACCCATGTAGTCTCATATATTTTAAATGGCGTTTTTGACAGTCATGACTGTACAAAAGTACTACGATTCTGATGGAGTAAAGATTTATTTTTTTTAACCTGCAGCTCTTTAAAGTGAACGCTGAAGATCAAACCCCAGTGAAATACAGACTGTGACAAAATAAAAGGATTATGGTACTGTGTAACAAGTTAATCTTTTCCTTCCTCCTTTGTCTGTAACTTGACCACATAAATGTAATGAACTAACCGCAGTGCTGAATTGCAATAAACCTTGTTACGGGTCAGTCCTGATGTGGTTTCGTCTTAGTTCCTAGAAGGGTTGAACCTCTCAAGTTACTTTAATGAGTTAAGGGAAAATACACGCACCACACTCACGAGCCATCTGAACGCAGCTTTCCTGTTCGAGATGCATGTACACAATACCAATGCCTGTTTCTGCCTCATTAAAAAAATACGTCTAAATTATTAATAACAGAGTCGCCATTATGAGAAATTATCAATTTAAAAAAAAAGTGGCAACTGAGATTTAAAGTCACAATTACATGTAGGGCAAAAAAAGTGGAAAAATTGTTATGTTAAAGGGGTCATATGATGCGATTTCAAGTTTTCCTTTCTCTTTGGAGTGTTACAAGCTGATTGTGCATGAAGCTGCGATTATGGTAAGGGTTACATTTCCGACGCGTGCTTGTGGTGTTCGGCCAATCACAATGCACTGGGTCAGTTGGCCAATCAGAGCAGACTGCGCTTGTCAAAGGAGGGGGCTTTGTAGAAAACGAAGCGTTTGAGAGAGGCGGGGCATAGAGGACCTACAATAATGTACAGTATTTGAAAAATAATGTGTTTTTTGAACATTAAAGCATGTCAACATATTCAGTTACACCAAATACACAAAATAATGATCTTTAAAAAAGCATATGACCCCTTTAAAAGTTGCAATTTAAGACACCGTTGTTATATTAATAGTTGGACACAAAGTCACAATTATAACGTCGCAATCACAAGACAGTAGCAACTGAGATTAAAAATCAAAATTATGAGAAACAAAGGTGGATTTATGAAAATTAGTCACATTGTCAATTTTAAGATTAAAAAGCTGAAATAAGATTTATGAGAAATATAATTGCTAACGCATAACACTTTTTTTCTTTTTCTTTTTTTTAAATTTAAAGTCACAATTTCAAGATATACGACAGTTGTGAGATGTGAAGTCGCATTTATGGTAAAGGTATAAAGTTACAATAAACAAAGTAGCAATTGTGGGATTTAGTCAGAATTATATAATCCCACAAATGTAATTATAGAGTTATATATATCAAAATATATGACGTGTGAGATATGAAGTTGTAGTAATCTGAAGCAAAGTTGCAATTATGAGAAAAAAAATTGGAATTACAGGAAAAAGTGGCAACTAGGAATAAGTCACAATTATGAGAAATACTTATATTGTGAGATATAAAGTGTCGTTTGTTATTTATAAAGTTGCAAGATTGAGAAATCCTGAGAAAAAGTAAAAATAAAGTTACAACGGAGTCAAACTTGCAGACATGAGAAATAAAATTATTGGTACCTCTTTTTTTAATTTTTTTTACTTGAAGCAGAAACAGGCTTCCATAGCAATGTTATTTACCACTAATACAAAACAGTTACAGTTTGATGAACTCAAGCAGTAAGCATCATTTGAGTTGGATCAGTAACATGGATTAGTGTCATTCCTGTATTATTCTGATATTAGGAAAGAAGTGAAAGGCACACACAAATCAAACATTCACTGATGGTCAGTGCATCCATAAACAAATGAGCCAGTCATGTGCAGTGAACGGCCAGTAGATGGCACTAAGTGTCTGATCACCATGGCCTTCCTGCACATCAGGCCCCTATCTGATTACCCAATAAAATTTCTCACTCATGCTGTGATTTCACCCCCCCCCCACCCCACATGGATAGTTTCTTATTTTGTCCCAGTAAAATCTGAGAATAACGCCAGGTGCCTTCCCTGTGGAGCACAGAATATCCTAAAGCTAGCAAAGTAGCAAAACTTTATTCCAAAGAGGCTTTTCTGAGGAGCTACAAACCCCATGAACACCTTGACGCTCACAGCTTTGGCGTAGGTGGATCTTTCTGTCTAATGTCTCCATTTGGCGCTTTATTCTCTGGTTCGTTGGGACTGGTTTTAGGAGTCTTGGGTTTCTGTTGATCCCTTCTCAAGTGTCTCCTTTGACGTCTCCTTTTGGGCCTGTCTATAGAAGCTGGGTTCGATTCTGGTACATCCAGCAGGGGGTCCAGGTGAATCTTGCCACTCACTGCATCTGAAGACTCATCGATGTACGCAAGATTTTCCCCAAGGTAATCCAAGGGCTGAGAGAGGACGGGATCTTTGGGCATGGCATGGAGTTTTTCTTCTTTCACTAAATCTTTGCCCTTGTCGCTACCCACTCCCTCCGGGACCCGGTCTGTTTGGGTTACCTCCGACTGTGACTCAGAGCTGCTTTCTGACTCATCCGATGAACCCGAGTAGGAGCTGGATTCGGATTCATTCTCCTCTTTTCCATCCTCTCCGGCTCTACCCTCACTGCCATTGTGTCTGTGGTGTCTGTGGCGCCTGTGACGCCGCTTTCGTCTTGTGTGCTTGAAAGGATCTTCAAATTTTCCAGACATGTTGAAATCCACAGACATGTTCTGGATGTTCTGAGTCCAGTCTGAGGCATGTGCTCTCAACCCCTCCATCTGGGAGCAGAAAGTAGGGCAGGAGAAATGGAAAGGCTTGAGAGTTATGGAGAGATTTGTATGTCACCATGAACAGAATGATTGAAATTTGATGCAGATTTTAGGTTAATAGGAGATGTGGAGATGCACTACGGGTATGAGGGGAAATGGAAGGAAGGTTATCAAGAAGATAGAAGGGGCCGGAATTGAGAAGAGAAGTTAAAAATCACATTTGAGTTGCAGTGTTGAGTCTGACCAGGCACTAACCTTATTCATTAACTGCTCAAAACATTTGATTATAAAAAATTAATTAGACATCAAGATTGAATCATTGGCCTACCTCAGCTCGGGTTTTTTTGGTAAGAACCAGGATCCAGTTCCCAATCATGGAAAGAATGGACACAAAGTAGGCCAATCCAAACAAAACCCAGAACCACACCAGAGGCTTGTACCAATGATTTTTACCTGCATCACCGCCATCACCTGATGGACAAGAAATTTACAAAATACATAGAGTAATTTATTCAAATTTATAGTTCACCCAAAAATGAAAATTGTGTCATCATGTAATCACCGTCATGCAGTTCCAAATTTGTTTGACTTTAGTTATTCTGTTGAACACAAAGGAAGATATTCTGAAGAATGTTTCAGCATTTTTTTGTCCGTATTATGAAAGTCAATGGGGCCCAAACATTTTCAAGCTCCAAGAAGGACATAAAGTTAGCGTGAAATTAATTCAGTGAAAACATTTGAAATGAACGTTTGATTAATGCATACAGACAAAAATGGTGAGACAAACCTAAAATGTTTGGACAAGAACCAATTAGGTTTGACAGCATTTGATGTTTGAGGTTTGTGTCACCATATTTGATGTAGTCTGCATATACAGGTGCATCTCAATAAATTAGAATGTCGTGGTGTATCTTTTTCTTCCACACTTTTTCCTTCCACTTTCTGTTAACATGCTTGGATACAGTACTCTGTGAACAGCCAGCTTCTTTGTCAATGAATGTTTGTGGCTTACCCTCTTTGTGAAGGGTGTCAATGATTGTCTTCTGGACAACTGTCAGATCAGCAGTCTTCCCCATGATTGTGTAGCCTAGTGAACCAAACTGAGAGACCATTTTGAAGGCTCAGGAAACCTTTGCAGGTGTTTTGAGTTGATTAGCTGATTGGCATGTCACCATATTCTAATTTGTTGAGATTTTATTTTGAATTTTATTTTGATCATTAAAAAATAATCATTTGAATTCAGACATCTTGGAATATACCCGTATGGATTAACTGAACTTTGTGTGCTTTTTTTTTTTTTTTAAAGTTCCATTGACTTTCATAATATGGACAAAAACAGCTGAAACATTCTTCAAAATATCTTGTTTTGTGTTCTGCGTTAGTGTCATACTCATTTGGAACAACATGAGGGTGAGTACATGATTTTTCATTTTTGGGTGAACTATTCTTTTAAGTGTGTTTCTTGGTAAATAGTGGTAAGATGTTGGATTCAATGGTGGATTGGAAATGGTGGAATGGAGCCATTGAAAAACAATCAACCCATTAAACGCCCACCACAAGATGTCTGCAGTGGTTTGTTTTTTTAATATTACGTATCATGAAAGAACGTGCCACGGTTAAATGAGGTCTTCTTCGCTGAGGGTTAAACATCTTCTTGAGCAAGAAGACAAGAGACAGGACAGATGCTTACATATCTTAGTTTCAATCAATTTGATCTCGAAATAAAGTGCAAGCTATTCATCAAACTGTTGCAAGTGAGCAAACATTTCAGGATTTCCCCCAGTGGTACCTGCAACATAGTCTCCAAAGCCCACTGTAGTGAGGGTGATGACCACAAAGTAGGCGGATTCTAGCCAAGTCCAATCTTCGACCTTCTGGAAGACTAAAATTGGCACAAAGATGAAGAGAACACAGCCCAGCAGGATGGACAGCACAGCGGTGATGACACGCACAATGGTCGGGCTCACCTTCCACTTCTGAATGGAGAAAATAAAGAAGACTGAAGAAAAATGTCAAGAAAGCTGGAAATGAATCACTGTGACAAAGGTTTACTGCACCTTGATGTATAAGAGCCAGGAAAGTGTATGAAAGACTGTTTATAAAATAATACAATGATAATATTTTAAATAATGATTGTCTTGTGAGGTTATGTTTGTCATCATCATCATTTACCCATAAAAGAGCTTCAACTTTAGCAATGGCATTCCTCAGCGACGTCCCCAGATGGTCTCCTGCGGCAGCCAATAGAAATCCAAACAAAGGAATGCCCACCAGTGTATAGCAGATGCAGAAGAGCTGACCCCACGTTGTCTTTGGAGAAATGTTCCCATAACCTGGACCACAGACAAACACTTGCTGTGATCTGATGGCAGATATTTTTAGACATCTCACAGTGCCAATGATCCCCAGAATGCAGAGGCCAGGCCAGGCTCTAGCTTTAACATGCAGGTGTGTTCAGCCAGTGATGTGGCAGTCCCATACCGATGGTGGTGACAATGGTGCCACAGAAGAAGAAAGCACTGGCCAGGTCCCAACTGGTGCTGAATGTGGTATTACTGTTGGGGTCAACTCCAACACTGATAGCCTCTGCCACCACCTGTATAGAGACAATGGAGTATAGGGGAAAAAGATTAGATATTAAACACAGGTTGAGTCCAAATTTTAATATGCCTCTGATCATAGAACTTTTTAGGTTGGGTAGAATCTGCGATCTCTGTCCCAGTTCATTTGCAGGCTTTCATGGTTGCAATGTGCTGTGTTTTCCACCAACTGGCAACCCAGGGTCTCGAAATACTATTGGGTTAATTGGCAGTGGGCGGAATCACACAGACCAAAACAAAAACAGACATTCCGACTTGGAACGCACATTTCAAAGTAGAATAATTGGCTGTAGCATTCTGGAATTGCATTGTTTTTCAAAGAAACAAGTAAGTCAACTTAGCATGTTTTGTAAATATCTGCATATTGTGGCATTTTTATGCCTTAGTACAGTCAGAACATTACATACAGCACCTTTAAGCCAATAGTTTACTTCTAGGGCTGATTGATAACAATCTAAATTTAAAAAATCAACAACGAATTTTGATTAATCAGTGGCTGGTTGCATAAAATACTTAGACTAGTCTTACAAGTGAAGTCATCATAACATTTTTAAGTCAGTTGCATAAAAACATAGATTGGTCTAATGTGAATCCAAAAATGAATCCAGACTGATTCCCCTTTGGCTAACTGCTAGTTGGTCAAACTAGTTCTGAAGACACAGTTTTAACATAGAGGCTACGTGGGAGCAACTGTGTACCAATACAAAGAACACTGATCAGGATGTGGAATAACAAGTTTTTTTGTTTTTTGTTTCAGTATATACAAAATTTAAATTTGGTTTTTAAAAATCTGATTAATCGATTGACCAGATTAATCGATTATAAAAATAATCATAACATGCAACAATACTTACATCTATCAGTTTCGATAGATGCTCAGGGTCTACACATGTGTAGTTGCCCAAGAACTCCTTACGGGTAGCTTGCAGCTCATCATGATGGCTTTCCTCATGTGGAGCCTCCAGGGCATTGAACACCAAAGCCCCCATCATCAAGTACAGGAGCACCCCAATAAGGACGAATATAAGGGTGGAGCCATGCATGGCTGAACGTCTGCTGGAGTCTGTCCGTTTCTTGTCCTTTCCACTGCTGGTGTCGTTCCGCTTGGGGACGAGGCTGCAAAACCAGCCGAATCCATTAAAGAGAGTTGCAAGCAGTTCATGGTGAAAGCTTAAGCGTGACCACAAATTAACTTTACAGAAGATTTTGGTCTAACCCATTAAAGCTGCAATATCAGTATTAGTCTACAACATTCAGAATTTAAACCTAGCACAACGTTCAGCCACAAACCTGTCCTTTTCCTCCTCGCGTTTCTGGCTTATCCAGTTGCTAGAATCTTTGGATCTGTATCCACATGGAAACACCTCGTCCTCGTGATCTGATTGAGGTGAGGGGACAAGTGTTTTAGACATATAAATGAAAACCTGTACAAAAAAAAAACCCAACTTGGTTGGGCAAAATAATGTGAACGTCTGAAAAATAGGCAATATTTCTTTAAGGTGTTTTACCACCATTTGCCTTTAATACAGCTTCCAATCTTCTTAGAATAGATTCATACAACTTTTGAATAGTCTGCAGTTGACTGTCATCGAACAGAACATCTGCCAGTTGTTTCAGAGAACTGCCCGCAGCGGTGTGATAATATTCAAGTCAGGAGATTGATTTGGCCAGGGAAGATGTTGAAGTTTGTGCTCCAACAGTCCAGGTTTTATGATCTTGACGCCATTAAACCAATTTTTTTCACAGTTGCGGATGTTGGCTTTGTGAGGTTCTCTGTGGTCGGTTTTTGAGGAAACGGGGTCCTCAAGGTAAATACTGAGGTTTGCTGTCACTTTGCTGCAGTATAGTTCTGTGTAGTTTGGACACAGTCCTTCTTAGTGATCGCTGGTCCCTATCATTCACTTTCAGTTTTTGATCACTATTCTTCTTCGCTGATGAAGTCTTGCCATGCTGTTGTTCTTAAAACACCAACCAATTAGGCTGTTGAGGTTACAGACGCTCCTGCTAAATGGGCTCCCATGATTTGCCCTTTTTGGAAGTCTGACAACTCACCCATTTCACCCACGGCTTGTACTAAATACTGCTGAACATAGGTATACAAACTAGAGAGTATAGAAAACAACAGGATAAATAAAAGACAATCACAAGGTTTTTTTCTCACTATAGCCTACACACGATATTAACCTCTATAATAATGGGTGTTCACATTATTTTGTCCAACACCTGTGTGATTTTTTTATTTTTTACTTGACAAATATAAATTTCAAAAGAATCCTTCCTGAATAAATGTATAACTTTATTAAAAAAAAAAAAACCCAACCCCAATCTTTTAAAAGGCAGTGTACATGTTGTTGTTTTTAATATTTTATAAACCACACATTAATTATAGAAGTCTATTTTAAGTCCTTTTGATGATTTAAAGGACTTTGACGACACCCAGTCAAGACATAAAACACATAAGGCCCTGGTATCCAATGTGAAACTGCTCTGAATGCTTTCCTAACTTTAAACCAATGTATTTTTGGCTTTCAGTGCACAGTTATACTGACAGGAATCACATTGAGGGCCAGGTGGCTCCCAACATATCACAAAGGTTGCACCTTCACAGTCATGTTGCGAAACAAAACTCATCTGTCTTCTTTTATTTACTGAGTAGCAACATCAGACATTTACCAGCTGTTAGACAAACAAAGCCTATAAACAGGACATACAGGTAGAGGTTAATCTGGGACAAGAGGACTCACTGATTCACTCTCAGAACGATTCTGAAGATGATTCTTGTCGATACAGAAGATGAGCTCTAAATGCGAACTATATGCAAATCAAATTACAGAAAGTGAGAGTAAGAAGCACTTACAGCCAGTGAAGGACGTGTCAGCTGTGAATAAAATATGTGAAGGAAAAGTATCGTGAATAAGAATTACAGCTTAGCAGTTATTGATTATTTTAAAGAAATGTGTTGAGGTTTATGTAATTTTCTGTATGGGCACATATAGGCCTATACGGTTGTGTTTCTACATTATATGGGGTAAGTTGTCAAAGTGGAACCTATACATTTAATATATATATTTTTCAGTTACAACAAATAAAAAAATAAATTAAAACAAAACATTCATTAAACTGTGTGTGTGTGTGTGTTTCATAATTGTTTTATATTTCAATTAATTTTTTTTTGTTTTGATGTTAACTCATTCGAAATACTTATGCTTAATGTTACACTGTCAAAAATGATCAAATAATAATTATAAAAAAAATGTTTCAGACAATAAATAAATATTAATTGTTAATCATTAATAAATTGTATTGTATACATTTATAACATTTAAAAACATGTGACAGCGTTCTCCGACCTGGTATTTAATACAATTGAATTTTTCAGTTAATTAAAATCTGGTGATATTGAGATTTACATTTTAATTCGGAGGACAGAATTTACTAAAAATATTGTCATTTATGATGGTTTTGAAAACTAACATACAAAGCCACTGCTAGAGAAAACACATTTCTTATAGTCTGTGAGAATGTCACATGTTGTGCGGCCAAATTATTTAGCAGTTCTCATATTTTTATTTTATAGTATCAAGAGATATTTGTAATGATATACGCTGTGAGTTCTATTGAGGACAGCATTTGTGTATTTACGAGTGTATGACTAACTCATGTGCGTGTGAATGTGTGTGTGCGTGTGTGAGATCTGAGAAGCTTCAAATCCCAGGAGACTGAAATGTCTGTGGCAGTTATTGGGTTTAGAGTTTGAGTCCGAGCTCTGGAGGATCTGCTGACTGCATAGTTGCAAGCTGACTATAAAAAAGTGGTTTGGTGAACCAGCAAATATAAACATATTCAGGCAATTAGATCTAGTAATTAATCAAACCAAAGGCAATCTCCCCAAAATATACAACGACTGCCACGCAAGTCTAAGATTTCACAGCGTCAATGTCCAACTTTATAGTGCCTTTATAGTGTGTAAAACAAGTATTTACACCTTCTTTTACTTGTAGGTAGAGGCATGCATAATTGCTATTTGATTTGACTCAATACATTAAACTTATAACTTAATATCTGAATTTCCATGCACAGTAACTAAAAATACACCCAAAAGACAGCATTAGTAAATCACTTGGTCCGAAACTTCCAAACAGACCATCACAGGACGTAATGAACTTCCATGCAGGACCGTGGCACCAACAATGCACACATTAGCACTAAACTTACAAAATGAATCAGGAACAGATTCTTACACACAAGCTCTCAGGCCCATCTCCCACCTCAGAGCAGACAGTCCGGCATATCCAGAGTGCTGCAGCCGCAAACTGCAGGATTCCTTCCAGAGGGTGTGTGAGTGTGTGTGTGTGAGAGAGAGAGAGAGAGAGAGACGGACAGCGACTGCTGCTGAGTGCCCAAGAATGAAGAGGTACTCAATCAGACGGAGGCAGAGCTGAGAGAGTGAGTGTATGCGAGACTGCCAGCATGTTAGTGGGCTTTGTCAGTGTGTTTATGTGTGTATGTGGGAGAGGGTGGGATCAGCGGAACAGGGAAGGGCTACTACAGTAAAGGATGGTGAAAGAGAAGGAGGAAATGAAGAAAAAAAGGGAAAGGGTGGGGTCGATGCAGAGATTCCGTGCTTGATCGGCTAATTGGTCTTTCCCTTTGGATCATCGTTTTCCCAACCCAGTTTATTCCAGTTTAATGGGATGGTTCCGTTCGAGAGGAAGGTTTATGTTCCGCTTGGAATACAAATTAAATTTTTATATATGTATATGCATGTGTGGGTGTCTATATATATTAATAAATGTCTTAAAGATGAAAATCTTACATGGTACAGATTATACTTAATTTTAATATATTAATATTTTATTATAATATATTTTTATATTTATTAATATTCATGTTCTACTACTATTATTATACTATTAATGAATTAACATTTACCTAGATTAATAAATGCTGTTTGAAAAACAAAGATGAACAAATCTACTTGCAAGTACAGGCAAGTTATAATCACAGTAGGCTTCTCTGGTCACTCCAGACGTTATATTGCTCAGTATATTTCATTACCTCCCCTTTACTTTCTCTCATATTTGTGCTCTCTCTCTTTCTCTCGGAGTAGGCAGTGCAATACAGCTGATATATAGAAAACCATCTTTTCAGTCTACCTTCCCTTGCATTTTGTCTCCTTCTATCTCACACTTCCCATATGCTTGGGTCAGTATCAGAGTGACATGTGATTCACGCTAATGTGCAGAACTTATTGGGAAGTGCAGCTGTAACATTGCAGACGGTGCATGGCTCTCTCAACTGTATGCCAGGAGCCACATGCTCATGCTGCTCACAGCGCAGACCTGGCGGGGATGTGGTTACACTTCTCATGATAGTCACACGTGACGACCAATCATTGTATGTGTATCACCACCTTTAATTGGTTTTGTTTTTAAATATTATCAGTCTGGTCTAAAACAATGACGTTTTTGTCTCTGAGATAAAAACGAGAGTTTGAAGCCAGAGGGGAAAACACTACGGTGGTGTAACATTAATATACTACAGCCATCACCAACAAGGCCATTACATAACCAGATAGGCAATCCATCAGTAACTCTGCATTATTCATGAAGATGTTTCACAATGCTACTAATGTGGCTCCTGCAAAAAGGAAGCAACACCATCGCTGGCTCGTGCCCAAAACACCCCTCTTCACAGCCAAAAAGCTTGACTTACAGGGTCACGCCAGCAGCCAGAAACTGTGTTAACAAGTATGGGAAAGATTATCCCCCTGTGGGCACTGAAATAGCGCAATAAGCGAAGTGTAACATTAGCACTCATTTGGAGCTCATTCAACAGGCACAAATGAAATTAAATGGCTGCATATGCAGGTTAACTGTTTATTTGTTGACAGAGATATTTTCACTCAAGTCAGTGAATGACAGTTTACAGGATTACCTGAGATGTTTTATTGTCAGTTCCTGTCTTTGCAGTAGGTTCAAAAGGATCTCAACAAAAACAGATGAAAATGGTTGTTGTATTAATCTGATGCCGATGTCCACTAACATGGACAGATATTTAAAAGCCATTTAAATTCAGGATGTGATGTTACATCCAAAACACCATGCATGATTACCTTTGCTCTTTAGTCGTATTTCTTTATAAAAGTCCTCTTGATGTTTTTAAATGATGGAAATAGCTGATGAAATTGATGGTGCAATATATATCTACACTATATTTTATTGCAGTTCAAAATACATAAAATCTCAAGGTACATACCACAAATACTTTTGGTACATCTCAAGAATAATTTTGACAAACTTTTAGACATGGCCTTATATTTTGCTTATAAGGATGCAATAATTGTGAACAAACAAAACAAATCAACAAATAACAGCATATATCATTTACTTTGACCTACATCTGAGCAGTGTTGTTTTATCATTGAGATGCTGTTATAGTTTTTTATTTTTTTCAGTTAAAGTTTATTTTATTTTGAGTGATGATTTTTTAAAATTATTGTTTTAGTTTTAGTTTTAGTTAACTATATTAACCCTGCATCTGAGCTTTGGTGTGCACATGCTCAGGACATAGGACAAGAGCAGGTGCATCCATAAAAAAAATTATTTTATGTATACATAAAAATTGTTTGACCTTCTGAACTGAAAATCAACAAGCAGCTCCTTTACTAACCATTAAAAAAAAAGAAGAAGAAAAAAAGCCCATTTTACCCAATTAATAAAAAGTACCAAAAGTCCATCCATGCTGGAGCATTTCCTACTGAGAAACACCCTTGCATTTACATTTACAGTCATTTGGGGGAAAAAATTTATATATAAATAGATAAAAGATTAAGAATTATTATATTCTTGTTTTGAAATAAAAAGAAATATTAATGTTTTCCCCTGTGATTTAATAATTCCTGCATCCCAGGATTAAGCAGTGTAGTCATCTCTTTGTCAGCACGAAATTTGCAATTAACAGATGTAGCACTGCTGTTTACACTGGGCTAGAAGCCATCTGTGCTGAAGATGAAATACACTTGGCTTTTACTCATTTTAACAAGACTTGGTACAACAGACATGCTTCAGGAAAGACCATTAAAGGGGTCATATGATGTTGCTAAAAAGAACATTATTTGGTGTATTTGGTGTAATGAAATGTGTTTATGCGGTTTAAGGTTCAAAAAACATATTATTTTCCACATACTGTACATTATTGTTTCTCCTCTAAGCCCCGCCTTTCTGAAACGCGTCAGAAAAGAGAAAGGAAAACTTGAAATCGCATCATACGACCCCTTTAAGGCCTCTCTTTCTATTTCTCTCTCAGGGAGAATGATTTCTGCCCAACACACTTGAATAGTGTAGGTAACAGCAAACGTACACCTCAGTACCAATCACTCTGCTGCTCTGTCAAGTCTGACTTCTGTTTCTCAAACAACGTACATAGATATAGACCTCATATGCCATCTGACACATCTACACAGGGACTTTGATTCATTTCGCACTCTCTAAATAGACTTTTATACCCACTTTGATCCCTCAGTGTAATTTGTGGGAGAGGTTCTGGATCACCTTCTCAAATTCTTGGCTGGGCTCCACAAGCAGTGGAGGATTTGTATTGCTCAAAGGCAAGCCGGGACAAATCAGAGCCGCGCCCTGAGCAGATGCATATGAGAGATTTATGGCGACAACATACTGGGGATAAATATAAAAACTGATCAGGAAGGAAGGGATGTTTGTTTGTAAGTCTGGTGGAGACAATAATAAGGTTATGTGAAAAAGTTTAAAAGGATTGTAAATAAATGAACAACTGAATAAATAAATATGATTTTTATATCATTTAGTATATGTGGGAGTGTCTGTTTGTTTTTTGATAATTCCTCATTTCTAATATTTTAAAGTCACATTAGTCACATTAGTTACAATAAACATTTATCAATAAGCAGAGACATTTATTTGTTTCGAGAATTAGGTGTATAATAATAATAATAATAATAATAATAATGCATTAAATCCAAATCCAATTTTCAATAATTTCTTATTCCATCCTTTGAACTACAGAGAAAATGTTGTACGAATAATTTTCCTGTTAAATGATCTGTTAAAAAAATGTTTAGAGAGATCACTTCCCTCCAGATAAGAGCTGTCACTCATTTCATGACAGATTAATTCTTAAAAACACAGTACTTTTTTCTTGGGTTGAAGTTACCAGTTTCCTTTTCCTAATGTGTTTTGATATCATTTTCACATTAAAGGCCACACTGAAACATTTAAAGATAAAATATGACAGAGACATACTAGCAACTGTAACTGTAGAAAGCAATGTGATAATGCTTAACAGAGTGTTTGAAGAACGGATGGGAGAGGAATCACTGGTTTAAAACGTCTAAATTGATTGAAATCTAATGGAAGGGTATTTTAGCAGGAACTGAATTTGCAGAGATGGAAGTGGATGTGGAAAAAAAAAAAGCAGATGAGAATGAAGAAGGGAATGTGGACTGAATCTTGTGTCCCATTAAGAAAAGCTTTTCAATAATAAAAAAGTATTTTCATTGTGGTTTTTAAAATGATTTTTGAGCAGTCAAGCAAACGAAAGCACTGCTACATGCACATTTTGAATAAGAAAAAAATTAAAAGCATTAAAAATACACTTTTTTTAAACCATGGATCATTTAGAAGGTCTCCATTTCTTATCCATTAAAAACACACATTCCTGGACTTGTTCAGATATGACAGGAATATCAAAATCATTGGGAAAAAATCTAGCTGAGTTGGCTTTTTTTCTGATTCCTGTAGACTGAGAGATACATGCTGAGTGGCAGCTCTTCCCTGAACACCAGTACTTAAGAACTCTTACATTACACATTAATCTAATCCTAGCAATTTCCCTGGGCTTTTAACAAGAGTGAGGAGACAGGAGGCCAACGAATAAAAGTGAGAAGTTCACTGGTATTAGGATCATAACAAGACAAGAATTAAATCAATTTTTAACTTTGATCTCCAGCTTCTTCTGCTTGAAAGTCAAGTTCTGACAAATATTAGCATTATGTCATACTCTTCTACAACTTCAGTTTCTTCAAGGGAAATGGGATGAATAAGGTTTCAGACATGTCTGAAACATGAGAACTGCAAATAAGCTTTTGTATTTTCTCTGTTACTAATCTGATTTCATATAATTTTGTCCGCCTACAAATGGACAGCAGGGGGCCTTGGCAGTGTTTATTGAGACAGGATTGGGATCTAATTCTATGTTGTGTAACCCTTAAAAGGAATAATCCTATTAATACAGAGTATTTCATCAGAATGACTAAGCTGGACATCGACCAGCACAGTTTGCGTTCAAATTGGTTTGTATGTTTGGAAGGACAGTTTACTTTGACTAAATTGTTTTTTCCTTTCCCAGTGATGAACCACTGAAATGTGGCTCTACTGTAGATTATAATCATAAGGGATTATCTTTAGCTCTTTATCTGGTGTT